TTATTGTAGAGATGAGGTCTCGCTGCCCAGGCGGGTCTCGAACCCGCGGGCTCAGGCAATCCACTCACCTCAGCCTCCCAAAGGCGTGGGATTACAGGCTGAGCCACCGAGCCCGGCTCTATTTCTGCTTTTACCCACTCTACCCAGGCCGCTGCTCCCCTCCATAGGCAGCCATTTTTATTCAATTTTACATTCTCCATTGTGACCACTGGACATTCAGCTTAAGCCTGGGTATCCCAAAACTGGGGTCGGGAAGGCACACATAAAGCCAAGGATGCAGACGTAGGACGGATGCCCCGGTGACAACTGCAGACTGCAATCCCAAGAAAGCAGCTCACACTGCATGAGAGGCTGAGAAGCACACCTCCACTGTAAAGTCCAGGCTTGAGCTTCTGCAAGGTAAATGGAGGCTGGAACAATGGCATTACCTGAGTTAGCCCTGCCGGGAGACACCCCAAAGGGGTCGGTCGGTTCTACTTAGAGGGAGACACTCAGAACTGGAAGGACCTTTCAAGATTCACCCAGTTTGAGATCCTCGCTTCATAAGTGAGAAAACGTTAGTGAACACATTTCAGGTCATCAAGAAAGGCACAGTCAGCAACAGGTCTTGTCTTTTTTTTTTTTGTTTGTTTGAGTTGGAGTCTCATTCTGTCGTCCAGGCTGAAGTGCAGTGGCATGCTCTCAGCCACCCCTGTGTCGACCTGCTGAGCTCCAGCGATCCTCCCGCCTCAGCCTTCCAAGTAGCCGGAACTACAGGTACACTACCGCACCTGGTTAATTTTTGATTTATTGTAGAGATGAGGTCTTGCCAAGTTGCCAGGGCTGGTCTTGAACCTGTGGGCTCAGGCAATCCACTGGCCTCGGCCTCCCAAAGTGCTGGGATTACAGGTTGAGCCACCAAGCCTGGCTAGCCACAGGTCTTTCTTGACTATAATATGTGCCACTCTTAAAATGTTCAGTGGACGAAACTTGCAAAATCTTTTCCACCTTTTCTAAGAAAGGGCACAGGAAGTTCACTTGCTCTCACAAAGGCATACCCCAAACACCCAAACTCGTGAAAACAAGTATTCACTTTTCATTCATGAATTACGTAAATCCTCAATCTCACAGGATAACAAATTCTATATTTTCCCTTCCCCCTCCCCCCCTTTTTTTTTTTGGGTAGAGATGAGGTCTCATTCTGTTGTCCAGGCTAGTCTCGAATGCTTGGGCTCAAGCAATCCTCTCACCTTAGCTTCCCAAAGTGCTAAAATTACAGGTGTGAGCCACTGCACTTGACTAGTCTATATTTTCTAACCTATTAAGTCATTAAGTGAGACATATTACCAAGATAACTAGAATAAACAACTGATTATGATCTTTTGCTCACTTTCCCAGAGTCATTAAAATAAATAACACACACTTTATAAGAAATGCTTCCATCTCACCAATAAGGGAAATAAAAATGTTGGAAAACCCAAAGACTTACTGTAGCTTTAAATACTTTATCCAGATTTACATCTTCATTGTTCCATATTCTCAAAACCTTAAATCAAAACACACACTTTAAAAAGGATCCATTTTACATTTACATGTAGTAAACACAAGTAGCTAATAACAAATGTCTGATTTCTGTTGAATGCTATTATCTAAGTTTTGCGATGCACCTTATTATCGTGTACGACGACATACTCTCCGGTCTGAAAGTTGCACACAGCGGAACACGTTATCAGCTGACCTTGTTTCACTGACCAGCTCCCCAAGGGTTTCTGGTCCGAAACCTAATGAGAGTGAGATAAAAACAACATTAAAAAAGTAAATTTCAGACACTAAAACCAATTAAGCTTACAAACAAAACAAAAGAAACCATTAAAATGGGAGCATTTAACAAACTTGCTAAATTAAAAAAAAAAAAAACTTGTCACAAAAGACAAAAACTGTGGATTCCACTTCATGCGAAGTCTCTAAAGTGGTCATGTTGACAAAGACTGAAGAAAAGTGCTAGCCAGAGGCCGGGGCAATGGCGAGTAGCTGTGTAACAGGCACAGGATTCCAGTTTTGCAGGGCAAAGTAAGTCCTGGTGACAGGTGGTGGTGACACACCTGCCTGCACAACATAGTGCTGTCATACCTACGACTGCACACACATATCAAGATAGCTGAGATACTAAATGTCATGTTATGCGTATTTTACCAAAGTTAAAAAGTTTTAAAAGTAATTAAAACAGAAATATAACTATGTCCCTAAAGTGAAAAACTAAGCAAATACACAACCCTTTGTTAGGAAGCAGCAGCACGAGTGAAGGGCGACTCCTGTCTGCCTCAGCGTGCCGTGGGCATTTAGCAGGGATGGCTGGAATCTCGGTACACTCCAAGGGCCACTGCGCTCCTAGAGCCACAGAGCCCAGATCTACCCATGGCCAGGGATATGCCAGGAGCCTGGGGGCCCGTGATCTGTCACCAGAACGTCAGAGCAAACAGATTTCTTTTCATTTTTTTGTTTTTGCTTTTTGAGTCGGATCTCACTGTCACCCAGCCTGGAGTGCAGTGGCACGCTCACAGTCACCACAGTTTCGACCTGCTGGGCTCAGGTGATCCTTCCACCTCAGCCTTCCAAGTAGCTGGAATCACAGGTGTGCGCCACAATGCTCAGCTAATTTTTTAAAAAAATTTACTGTAGAGACGAGGTCTAACTGTGTTGCCCAGGCTGGTCTTGAACCCGTGGGCTCAGGCAATCTTTTCGCCTTGGCCTCCCAAAGGGCTGGGATAACAGGTGTGAGTCACCCCACCTGATCACATCATTTCTTTTTCTTTTTTTTTTTTTTTCCTGAGTTGGAGTCTCACTCCTTCGCCCAGGCAGAGAGCAAAGGCACACTCACGGCCATCCCAGTGTCAACCTGCTGGGCTCTGACGATCCTTCTGCCTCAGCCTTCCAAGTAGCTGGAACCACAGGCACGCGCTACTACACCCGGCTAATTTTTTTATTTAGAGTAGAGACGAGGTCTCGCCAAGTTGCCAGGACTGGTCTCGAACCCGGGGGCTCAGGCAATCCACTCACCTCAGTTTCCCAAAGCAGGGGATTACAGGCTGAGCCACCGAGCCCGGCTCAGATAGTTTCTTAAAGACGTGAAACCTCTGTCCCACCACCCTGATGAGAATGACAGTTTCCAGGCGTCTGCCAAGGGCTGCGGGACCTGGGGGGCCCAGGCTGCTGACAGGGTTGCTAGAAATCCAGATGTTACCAAGAAAGGCTGTGTCCCCCACCATGGGCTTCCCACGGGAAGAGAATGCAGTCACCGAGCCACACCAACATTCCGCGCCCTCGCCCAACCCATCTCACCCCACCCGTTCCGGCGCGAAGAGGACAAGCCCTGGGGGGACCTCAGCCGAGGGAACCCCAGGTGGAGAGACCTCAGCCGGGGGAAGTTCCCAGTAAGATGGGGACCTCAGCTGAGGGCGGGGGGCTAAGCCAGCAGGCGGACCTCAGCCGGGGAGGACACTTCCGCAAGGGGGACCTCAGCCAGAGACCCCAACAAGGCCCTCCCAACTCGGAGGCGGAGCTCGGCCCTGCCTGCCGCGGTCCGCGCCTCCCGGGACGCCCGCAGGCAGGTAGGCTCGGCCGGAGGTGCGGGGACCCTGCTCGGGCGCTCGGATCCGGGCCCGCGCCACCGTCCTACCTTGTAGAGGACCACGGTCCTGCCTCGGTCCGTCACCAGGAACTGGTCTGTCTTGTTGCTTTGCTCCACGCCCAAGAGCCCGTCGGGGCCAGCACTCAGGACCCCCGAGGACAGCGTGAACTCGTCCTCCAGGGCCGCCATCTTGGGCGAGCTCGGGCCGGCCGCGCACGCCTCCCGGCAGGC